ACACACACACACACACACAAAGAAATATGGTTGGGATAAAAAAAGCCCATAAATTATCATTTAAAAAAAATAAATACAAGAAGAAATTGGATCAATATTGATTTTTATTAATTAAGAATAAATTAGCAACTAAGAACTAACCTTGATGTTCTTGTCCTTGTGCTTGTGATGGTGATGGGGGTACCTCAAACATTGGATTTTGATTTTCAGTAGGCATTCTCCTACTTCCTATTGTAAAAAAAAAAAAAAAAATTAAAAAAAAAAAGATTTTTTTGATGCAGCTCACTATTGCCATCTAATTTGATTTTTGTTTTGATGCAAGTGTTGAAGGATTAGGGAGCTTGAGATGAAGAAGAAGAAAGGAAGAGTGGAGAAGAGGAAAATTGGAGAGAAAGTGAGACTGATAGGCCAGGAGGGGTTTGGGGCATTTTATTTATTTTTACTTTTAGGATTAGGAAATTGAAAATTAAAAATTAATTTTTAAGTAATCTCATAAAAAATGAATAAAAAAAGTTCAAGTCATTTCAAGTGACTTGACCCACTCATGACTTGACCCACTCATGACTTGACCCATTCATGACTTAATCCATTTGGGTTCAAATAATTTTAATTAGGATTATTTTGGATTTGGTGTAAACACATAAGACTCATGACCTAACCTATAACAAATGGGTTGAGTCAAAATTTTGAATTAAGTCAAATAGTGTCAAGTCTACCTTGCTGTGTAACAACTCCAAGCACATAAGATTTTCGAATCTAAAACTGCAGACTTTCTCTATGATCTGTCTTTCAAATTTTCTTGACTTTTAGTAATTTCTTATATATTTAATAATGTTAAAAACCGATCAATCTGACCAAATCACACTGATCCAATTTAAATTGGATTGATTTGGTTATCACATAATAATAGATTGGATTGGTTTAAAAATTTTATTAACCGATTAAATTGGATTGGTTTAAAAAATAGTAAAATCCGAACCAAACCACACCACAAACACCCCTAGTGGTTCTTGACAATGACCACTATGTTAGTGTTGGAACTGGCTCCAAGTCTTTAACACTATCCCTAGCATTTACGAATGTTATTTACTCCATTTCATAGTTTTTAGGCACTACTTAATTGTTGGTTAGTGACCTAATTTCATTAGTTATGTGGTTGTCCATGTTGCTATTAAGGTTCCAATTTCTTAGGTAAGATGGCATTAGTTTTTCTAAAGTTAGAGTTGTCATAAAGCCTATTTAAAGGTTGTTTTCATATCGAATAATATTTTTATAATTCTCCAACATATTACTTTTTTCTCATGCGAATCCATATTTTCTAACATTTGATATTAGAGCACAACTTAGGGTAAGTTGAGATATAGAGAGAGCTTTTGATAATATCTAGTTTTCTGTTCACATGTTTTTGTGCTCCTATGGCTTTCAAGAATTTTGTTCAATGTTCAATTCATTGTTTTGATGGTCATCATTATGATCATTGTAGTATGCTGAATGAAAATTTCCTGAGGTCAAAACAATATTGGACATATGTTGATATTGGTGTTGTAGAACTGACAGTAAGTGCAAATAACACACAAAAGGCGAAAATTGAAGGGTAAAAGACATAAGTTGAAGGATCTCTACACTAAGTATTATTTGTTTGAAGCCATTGCTCGTGCAATCTTGAAAACCATTCTTAATAAAGATACTTCCAGGCAAATTTGGGTTTTAATGAAGTATAAAGGGAATTCAAGTAAAGTGCCAATAACTCGAGCCTTGTTGACAAAAATTGACTCTATATAGGAGAATCTGTCAATTATTATTTCTCTCAAATGATGAGTAGCATTTCGAATAGGATGAGGATTTACAGTGAAAAATTGGAGGTTAAAATACCAATTTGATCTCTTGACTTTTAGATTTTTAGCAAAATTATACTTCAACTTCAAAAAATATAAAAATTATCCCTAAACTTTAATTTTTGATACCAAAAGAGTCCTTAAACTTTGATTATAAATATCAATTTGATCTTTCAAATTTGATAATATGTCTATCTAATATATAAATAAAAATATGCTATGATACTAAAATATGGTTGTTTAATTCTATACGTCATTGATATTTTAAAAAATAATTATTTTGTGGCATGATAATGCATTACCTGGCATTAATATTAACCGAAAAACTTTTTTGGTATAAAAAATTAAGGTTTAGGGATAATTTTTATACTGTTTGAAGTTAAAGGATAATTTTGGTACAAATCTGAAAGTTAATTGACCAAATTGACATTTTAACCAAAATTAGAAGATCCTATTATAGTTGAAAAGATCCTTTTATTAATGATATCAAGTTTTAATTTTGTTGTTTATTTGATTGAGAAATTCAAGGATCTTGATGAAATTTCCCTTAATGAGTTGTAGAACTCCTTTTTGGTGTACAAGCAGAAAAAGAATCGACAAGATCATGAAGAATAACCTCTACAACCTACAACAATGGTCATGACATGGGAACAGAAATGGTGGAAATATATATCTGGCAGGTTAGTGGAAAGTTATGTCAATACCAATTGGATTGGCAAAATAGATTAAATTAGAGATTTGCCACTGGAAATCAAAAGAAATGGAAAAGTTAGGAGAGTAAAGTGGTATATTTCAAGTCTAAATCAGTAGACAAGTCAAAAATTGAATGTTTTTGGTGTCACAAGTGTGACTATTATTGATCTGAGTGCCCAACAGTTGAAAATAAATATAGAGTAAGATCTCGCCTTGCAAAATAAGATGTGAAGGAAGAAGAAAAATTTTTAATGGTTTGTCATCCTAAGAAAGTCACTCATCAGAATGAGGGGTACTTAGACACATGCTATAGTAATGACATGTGAACAGATAAGTCTGTTTTCTACTTGGATGATATTCCTTCTCAAACATATAGGGTGAAGTTTGGAGAAGTATACCATTTCTATAAAGGGAAAAGGAGATATAAGAATCAGAGACAAAGAAAATTGATTATAGATTATTTCTAAAGTTTGCTTTAAGGTAAAGTTCTGTTATTTCCAAACCTTAAAACAAACTTGTTTAGTGCGGGACAACTTTTGAAGAGAGTTTATGAATATTTGGTTGAGGATGGAGTCTGACGAGTTTATGATTCAAAATTTGGCTGAATTGCAAAAGTTAGCATAAAACCCAATATAATGTTTCCACTATAACTATAAAATGCAAGTATTTCTAGATTTTTTTTGTCAAATTGAGAGATACAGCCTGATTTGGCATCACAGATATAGACAACTCAATTTTGGTAGCTTTTGAATTCTTCAACAAAAGTTGGTAGAGGGTTTACCTAATTTTGTTTTTAGCAAAAGTATGCACAGTAAGTAGCACTGTGATACTTTTTTAAAAGGGAAATTGTGGAGAGCGAAAGAAGTCTTAGTTCGGTTTCATTTTGACTTTTGTGGCCTATAAATCTCACATCAAATGGTGGTGTGAAAAAGATGCTTTATCTCTTTTGTTAATGATTGCCTTAAGAGGACATAGGTTTATTTCTTGCAAAGTCTAAGGCCTTCTAGAAATTTATAGTGCTAGTAGAAAAGGAGCATGACAATCACATAAAGATACTGTGTACAGATCGTGGTGGAAAACACAAATCGTGAGAATTTGTGAATTTACAAGAGTGAAACTATATATGTTAAAAGGTAGATGACAACACTAATAGTCCGCAACAGAATGGAATATGTGAGAGAAGGAATCACACATTCATGAATACGGTGTGAAACCTATTGGAAAGAAATGGAATGCCCAAAGCATTTTAGCGAAGATGTGGTTAAGTAGAGCAGTCAATTGTAGACCACTTTAAAATTTGTGTATAAAATATGCCCTTGTGCATGACTAGAACTGGAGTTTGGTTGATAAATATGATAATTGTGTTTTTGTTGTTATTACTAATTGTTCTAAATATTAGAAGCTGAAAAATCATATTTTCAAGAAGATTACTATTACCGGGACATTGTCTTTTATGAAGACCATCGTGATAAATGATAATGACTTTGATAGCCTGATTAGCTCAGATAAAGAGAGTAGTTCTAGTAGCTTACCAGCGACTTTGACAACCTGATTTTTCCTTTTGTTTTATTTTGTATTTTCCATGAAATATAAAAATTAAAATTGTTCAAAAAAATAAAAATAAATAAAAATTGGGATGTCTAGTTATAAGAATATTAAGACGTCTAATAACAACTCCGTAGTAAATAAGATTTAAATAGAACTTACATTATATTTTACTCATGTTATGACTATGATTAGATATTTTGATATTTTTAATGTTAAGGCATTCTATTTTTTTATATTGTTAATAAAAAATAACTAAAAAACCATAAAAAGTGAAAACAAAAAATATATAATAGTCCCCTTGGTCTTTTTTAGTTATCCCAATCCTCGACTTTATTTAAATTAACTTGTTTTTTTTTTTTTTTTTTTTTTTTTTTTTTTT